TCCTAAATGAGAAGATAGTTCACAAGCCAGGTGGCTAAGCACTCTGTAGCCCTTTATCTCCAGCACGGGGAAAAGCCCATAATGACACCCATCTTATACATTCCAAGATAGGTTAAGAAGCCCAGGATAGACCAAAATTATAGTTTGGGATTAAAGTATTTGATTTAGAAATTATCTCTATTGGTACTTTATTCTTTTCCTCTTTGGCTTGTTAGTATCAGGGTATTTTATGGTTGATTTAAAGAGTAGGAAATGACATTAATCAGGAAACATGAGGAGACTTCTCTTTTACATCTTGCAGTGATATAAAATCAAAAGCAAAGAGCGGTAGATATTTCAGACCAAGCCAATTTCTGAGAAAGGAAAATTATCAAAAATAAAGAAGGACATTGTATAGTAATAACAGGGTTGGTCCTACAAAAAGACTTAACAGTGCTTAACACATATGTACCTAAAAATAGGCATCAAAATACATGTGACAAAAGTTGATAGAACTATAAGGAGAAATAGACAAGTCCACAGTTATAGCTGGAGACTTCAATATATTAGTAATTTCTAGATTCAGCAGGCAGAAAATCAGTAGGGATATAGTTGGACTAAACCACATTATCACAACGTGAGCAAATTGACATTTATGGAATATACCTCCAACAACAGCAGATTACACGTTCTTCTCAAGCTCACGAGGAACATTTACCAACAGAGCCCACATTCTGGATCATAAAACCACTTACCAAATATAAAGAAGAGAAATAATAAAATATACCTTCTCAGACCACAATGGAATTAAAACTAGAAATCAGTAACAGATACTCTAAAACTTTCAACATTTGGAGACTAAACAATACACTCAATTAAACATGAGTTAAGACTCAATAGAACATAAAAAAAATAGCTTGAATCAAACAAAAATGAAATAATTCATCAGAAAATGTGGGATGCAGCAAAATCGGTGCTCAAATGAAAATGTGTAGCAGCACTAAATGCCATAAAAGAAAATGTATTAAAATCAATAATGTAAATTTCTACCTTGGGAAGCTAGAGAAAGGGAAATTTAAGCCTAACATGAGCAGAAGAAAAGAAATTAATAAAATTAGAGCAGAAATCAGTGAAGTTGAAAAAAGGAAAATGATAGAGAAAATCCATAAAACCAAGCAATTAGTTCTTTGAAAAGATCAATGAAATTGATAAATCTCTAGCCAAGCTAATCAAGAAAAACCAAATGCCTCAAAAAAATAAGTGTGAAAGATAGGTTTGAGATTATCTCAATATTAAAAGGTCAGTTCTCCAGGCTCATTCAATGTGATTGTCCTGAGAATTCAATCTGATGAAAGCTAGATTAGTTTTAAGGTACAATGCTATTTGCTGACATGTCACTTGTCTTTATGTGCTTAATCCTAAAACTTCTACATGTCTTAAAAGATCTTAAAATGATGTACATTTTTATACTGCTTCATTGTATGTTTTCATCCTTTAATGTCAAGTCTGATTCCATCTGAACTGTGTTAGTTACCTGGATGAAATGAGAAAAAAATATTACTCAGAAAGTTCAAAATATTCAGACAATTGATAAGTCATTCAGCAAACTTATTGAATGCCTGTGCTGCACAAGGCATTATTCTGGGAATTTGGTGTATAATTTGGCCACATATGGGAGGTTTGAAAAGGGAGGGCAGGCTAAGGGGTGTGGGAGATCAGAGGGTGGTTTCAGTCAACCAAAGGGACAGGTATAGAATACTTTTAGGGAAGATATATATATTTTTTGAGTTGTATCTTATCATAACTTAAGTTATAGTTGGTCACTAGGCAAGTGTGCTGTCCCAGGAATAGAGAAGAGTATTGATAATGCCTAGGAAAGGGTGAAGATTTGTTCTAGAAAGATCATCTAATTAAGTTTTTATTGGAACAAAAGGTCCCATAGAAGAAAGATAGTTTGGGGTAGCCTCTGGAGAGCCTGGCTGGAAAATTTGAACCCTCTTGAGTAGCAATGAGATACTGTTGAAAATTTTCAATCATGAGACATAAGTGACCAGAATCACAATATGGAAAGAATCCATAAAGGGTGCCAGATGGAATACAGTCAGGAAGAAATAAACTCAGGACTGGGCAACAGGCTGCTTGAACATGAACAGAGATCTTTGTTAGGAAGTAGGAAGGATGGGAATGCTGGCTGCCAACCAGACATCCAAGTCAGATGACATTGGCATGGCACAGCCTTCATGACTGCTGCACCTGACTGGACTGTGAGTCTCTGATAAATGTGTAATTGCTGGATTTAATTTCCTAGTGTGCACCTGTGTGGTCCATAAACGCTGCCATCATCTAATTGTTACAGCCTGCACCTGCCAAAATAACATTAACAAAGTGGACTCAAAGGTAAGAGGCTGCTAGTCTGTTGATTAAGCACATGTGCTGTAAGTGTGCGAACTCTCTCTTTCTCTCTCCCTCCCCTTTTCCCCCTCCCTCACTGCTTTAGTTTCTCCCTCCCCATTTCCTCCCACAATCCTTGGAGCCCAGAGTGGTATTTAGAATTGCAATTCCTATCCTTTTTTGCATTGAGGCATTTTGTATTCCTCTTCTTGTGTAGCATGACCTCACCTTATGAGGATCTCATCAGTGGTCATCTGAGCATTGGCTCTATGGATCATTCAGTTCTACTAAGGCAGAGCACTCTATGGAATAAAAGAGACCTGACCTTGGCACGCAACCACCTAGACTAGAATGCTGAATATAGCCTCCAGTAGAGATCATCTCTGTGAACTCAAGCTGGGACCACATCCTCTCTGTGCCTCATTCTAAACACAGCATCAGTACCTGCCTCATGCATATTTGTGGGGGTTAAATTAAATAGAAGTGACATATGTAAGCTATAAATTATGCTTCCTAAGTAAGTCTCTTGGCCTCCTCCAGCATCTGAGAAATTTCAGGCAGGATGTAGATCTGTGGAAAAGCTGTAAGTTCATTCTTGCCACTCACGTTGCTTTTGGCTGGGATGGACACACATTTTAAATTCTGGAGGGAGAGCTTAGATAGATGGAGAATTGCTGACATTTAGTAGATTTGCAGATACTTTGAAAAGTCTGATTCTGGAACTTGATGGTTGTTGGCAGAATACATGCAGGATTGCTAAAGAGTTGAATATAGAGAGATACACAAGAAAGATACCAGAAAAGTCTCCAAAGGAGACTTTGCCCTCCTCCTTGACGTGAATGGATCTGTTGTTACTGCTGCGAACTGTGAGGTAGATCACAGAGCATATGGCAAGTATAATTATTTGTGGAAGCAGTATGTAAAATTAAAATTGGACCTTTGTGCTCAGGTCCTCAGAATACAAATGCCACAAGGGCTAAGATGGCCACTCTAATGACACTTTGGAATGACTTCCTTTTGTGAGTCCATGTCTTCTTAGTGCCTTTTTTAGTTTCCCCTGTGACACAATTTTTAGACGAATTTGTGGTAATCACATATATACAGTATATTGCACATTTAATCCTGAAGTCAGAGGCTCCAGGAAACAGACATAGGTGTGAGGGGATTGAAAATCTTAATTTCTGCGTATCTCTCCAAAGGGTGAATGGTATAATGTGCACCCCACATTTCTGTCATGTTCTACTTATCAGAAAACATGCTGCAAATGTGTTGGGGATGTAGCTCAGTAGAACATTTATCTGGCATGTGCAAGGCCCTGGTTTGATCCTAGCATTTTTTAAAAGTAAATTTCTATCTCACCCCATGTAGAATGGCTATCATCAAGAAAGCAATTACTGGAGAGGATGGGAGGGAAAAGGAATCTTTATATGCTGTTGATGGGAATGTAAATTAGTGCAGACACTATGGAAATCAGTATGGAGGTTCCTCAAAAAACTAAAAATAAATTACCAAATGATCCATCTATACCACTCCTGGGTATATACCCAAAGGACTCAAAGTCATATATAATAGTGATAACAGCACACCTATGTTCATTGCAACACTATGCACAATAGCCAAACTATAGAATCAGCCTAGGTGTCTATCAACAGATGAACGGATAAAGAAAATGTGCTATATACATATATATGTGTATATGTGTGTGTGTGTGTGTGTGTGTGTGTGTACACACAGTGGAATTTTATTCAGCCATAAAGAACAAAATTATATCATTTGCAGGAAAATGGGTAAAATTGGAAATCATCATGTTGAGTGAAATAAGCCAGACTCAGAAATATAAATATTGATGATTTCTCTTATATGCAGAATCTAGATTTTTAAAAACAGAACATGAAAGTAGAGGGGACCATTTGGGAAGAGGAAGGGGTCAGTGGGAGAAGGGAGGAGGGTGATGGGGGATGAATATGAACAAAGTGCCTTATAAACATGTATGAAATGTTATGATGAAACCAATTAAAAATTACAAAAGAAAAGAAGACACGCTCAGACTGTGAGACCTGAGTAATTAGCTGAAGCTGAGCGAAATGGTATACCCAACCCTGGGGTCACAGTACACTTTGCATTTGATGGGCTCCTATTACAGCTTTTACAAAAGGTGTCAGTATGAAATTTTACCTCTCGTCCTCTTTTCCACCCTAGGTTGCTGAACAGAGGTTTGGCATCAACATCCCACACAAATTCAGCATCCACAATTACAAAGTGCCAACGTTCTGTGATCACTGTGGCTCCCTGCTCTGGGGAATAATGCGACAAGGACTTCAGTGTAAAAGTGAGATGCCAAAGGACTGGGTTCCCACTATTTCATGGGGACACCTTACCACAAGCTTCTGGGATTCTACAGGCTCAGAATCTGACCTGGGACTGATGGTTTTAGATATTTATATATCAATATCTTAATCATTTTATACTTATGTATCCCTTGTCATGTAAAGAGAACTACATCTGATCCCCAAATTAATCATAGAACATTTAGTCAGACGTTAAGTTCGGGGATCTAGCTAGCTAGCTGTCATACGAGTAGACTCATTGCTGAGTAGACTGGGCATTGTACTTTAAATAGTTTTTTGAGAGTGGAAAAATAGGATCTTGGTCAGAGATGGCAGATGGGAGGTGAGATGGCTAAAGGCGGAGGTTAGGTTATGAGTAAGAACTGGCAAGAGAGTAGGTCTGACGCCCTCACCAAAGATGAGCAGAAATTCAGTTGTCAGTATAGCAAGAGCTGTCCTGGGTCCTCTGCATGAGAACTTTGATGGAGACTGGAGGTGGCTGGAGCACTGCAGCTTTCTTTGGCTGTGGGCCAGAGCCCTTTGGAACTTTTGCTTTTGCAAAGGCTGCGGCGGGATGAGGGTTGGGAGAGGGCTGGGCCCTGTCCTTAGGAGTAGGGGAACTGACGGTTTTGAGTAATCTCCCATTGGGATGCTGTGATCTGGCTGTCATGGGGTGTGCCTGAGTCGTTGGTCCCGGGGAATGATGGAGGAGATAGAGTTGGCATGGGTGCAGCCAGACAACTTCTGCTGATGGCCTGAAGTTATCCAGCCTGCTTCTGTCAACAAAAGGGGACAAATCTCTTCTCTTTAAGAAGAGCAAATTCTTCTGTGGCTCTAGAATACCATTAATAACTGTTATTTATTCATACAACCAAAGAGCAGCCAGCTCAGATCCAGCTTTTAGGGCTTTTGGTTCCTGTGCTCCTTGATTTCAGCTTGATGGTCTCAACAGGGTGTGGACCCTGCCTGAAAGTCACTTTCTGTTTTTGAATGGAGGGCCTTGCATAGGACTCATCTGCATTGCTTTTGTTCCTGGTAGCCTGAGGTAGCCTACCTGTAGTGATCCACCTTCTATAACTTTTGCTTTCATTGTCACTTGGTGGTTTTGAAAGGCCATTGTAGGCTTGTGTTGCTCTATAGCAGTCTTCTTGAAAAGCCAATTTCCCATTAAGCTCATGGAGCTTAAGCTTCAAAGTATCTTTCTTCTGGATTGGTTGTTCTGTTTCTTAAAGAGTTTCCTGATTGACATAAATTCAGCCCTGTGTGCTTCCAAAAATGGACAGACTCCATAAATCAGAAAAGTGTTGCAGGCTACTTCTATCTCTCATCAACAGGGCCTTCTTCAAGAAACTATATTGGAATATATTTCTGCTGATTAAACCTTGGAGATTCAGTGTCCTGAGGCAGCTCCTGAGCTCAAGGGACTTTGCTTGCTTCTTCTAACTGCCATTTACCCTAACCTCAAACTCTTTAAAGGTTGCTTTTTTCTTCCCCTGTAACATAGTTAGAACCACAGGCTGCAAACACGGAGAGCCACAGCCCCACAGGATGTATGTCTCTGTGCTAGGAGGGCTACCCTGCCACAACAGTACTCAGAAGGAAACCTCTGTAGAGCTCTCAGCTCTCAGAAACACCATTTCCATCCTGTTTCAGCAGTGATCTATGTATAGCATTGGACGACGGCCTTTTATTTTCTTGTTGAGAGAAAGAAGGAAAAGAATAGCCAGTTGGCATGATTCTTGTTATTTAATTGACTGTGAATTGTCACTATGATGAACGTTTTAATCTTTATATTGGCTTATGATGTTCAGTCAGCAATGACTGTTGCATATGATTTAGATGAACGTGTTTCAAGTCATGGTGAAAAAAAAATGTATTTGAGATCTATTGTTCTTTGGTATGCCAGGATTTCTGCTTTTGCGCAAAACAGAAATAGATAAAATGTCAGGAATTTCTTTAAGTGTGAGTTTAATTTTCTGAGATGACATTGTTCAGCCTGTGTAACTCCTGTCATGATCTTTTAGGTTACTAAAGTTCTCAGTTGTAGCATATGGTGACTGGTTCTTTTCTGAATAATGATTCTATCTTCCTCTTCTCCCAGTATGTAAAATGAATGTACACATTCGATGTCAAGCCAACGTCGCTCCCAACTGTGGGGTGAACGCGGTGGAGCTGGCCAAGACCCTGGCAGGGATGGGTCTCCAGCCCGGAAATATTTCACCAACCTCGGTGAGACTTCCTTTTTCTTCATGTATTGTAATTTAAAAGTTGTTCCGACGTGGTGACTCCAAATGAGAACATGAGGCATTGTCAGAGTTTCCAATCGCAACAAATACACTCCGCAGATTTATTGCATTTAAAAAAAAATCATTTCAGGTCACAAAAGAAATCTGTCTTCAGTTATATGACAAGAAATAATGAGCATGCAGATATATCAGCAAGCAGAAGAAAGACTTTTTTCCTTTCTTTAAACAAACAAACAAAAACCAGCTTCCTGTCGATAAGGTCTGGTGAAAAGCTTGAAACCCAGAGGCCTGAGTTAGGAGCTGTCTAACCGGGCAGGGCAGTGGATCATAACCACGGGCCTCAGCTTCCTCGTCCCAAACCGAGTTGAACTTGGAGATAGCTATGGTTTTCTACTTCCCTGGAATCCAGCAGTTCTGCAGTTTTTTAATTTATGGATTATGAATTTATCTTTCTCATTTAGTAACTGGCAGGAATTCCTTCCCGTGGGCTCTCAGGAGTGGGGCGGGGGGCTGGGTCACTTGCCCTGGACATGTTTGGTCATGCAGCCTCCCTGACTGGCCTCCACCTGGTGGTGTCCGTTAGAACCTCAGCCACTTCCCAGGCCAATTGTCACTGCTGTCTTCCTGGCCAGCATCTGCAGGGAGGGAGGAGATAGGCTTGACTGTCTGGCTATAAGGTCTGTAAGGTGGGGTTTGATGTCTGCTCAGAAAAGTTCTAGACTTAACTGGTAAATGATCTCTAGGTACTTAGAGAGGAAAGCATAATCACTGTGAGATTCTTGGTAACTTAGAAAGTGTCCGCACTAACCATCTCACTTGCTCTTTCCTGAAAGACTCCTGGCCCAGATGAGGGATTTGTATTGACAGTATGTTTCTTGATTTCAGGAGGGCACGGAAAAGTTGTGGGTAGGCAGGTAGGATGCTAAAATGGTTAGGGGATTTCTAATCTCTAGGATAGCTACTGCCAAAAAGAGGAGATGAAGGATTTCAGCCTGAGCCAGGGCTTCAAAAATACAGTGGGACTAAGGTAGACCACATGACAAATTGCTAGGAATGGTGGTGCCCTTGTCATTTGGACCAAGTTTGTATTATTTTTTTGTTTAATTTTTTTCCCGGTACTAGGGTTTGAACTCAGGGCCTACACCTTGAGCCACTCACCAGCCCTTTTTTGTGATGGGTTTTTTTCAAGATTACCCAGGCTGGCTATGAACCAGGATCCTCCTGATCTCTGCCCCCTGAGTAGCTAGAATTACAGGTGTGGTGAGCCACTGGTGCCTGGCCTAAACCAAAATATCTTTAATGTTATGATATTTAATAGTGCAAACCCCAAAATCACCTATTATTTCACAGTCCAGCATTGAAAAGGGAGAACTGTAAGTCTTAACAAAAGAAAAGAATGGGCTGAAAAAAAAAAAAAGGTTGCAAAACACTGGCTTAGAGTTTTTTTTAGTCTAACCAGGAGAAGTATGTAAATGGAGGAAGTAGCATTTAAGCTGGTACCACTTCTCTATCTTTGAAAAATTTAGAAGAGGGATTTAGAGAAGGAACTATTAAAACCACCAGATTTTTTAAAGATAATCCATTTATATCCTGCTATCCTGTTTTACAGTGTTAAGAAAAATCCTTGAAGTTCCAGGCTGGTGCACAGTTGGTTTATTTCTAACATTGCATAGAAGTTGTCCCAGATAAACTTTTGTAAATTGTATTTTCAGCTAAATAGGTCAAAAACTCCAGGATGTTAGACTTTTGATCTATTATCTAGTGGTAGTTTGCTTTATTAATGTTCTGAGCTGGGTATCTACAAAGTCACCCTGCCTTTGAGTAGTGTCCTCACTGTGAAGCTGGCATGTGGGACCTGAGAACCAACCAGAGCTGCAACATTTACCTCCAGTTCAAGGTGGTGAAACCGGAGCTCTCATTATGCTGGTGGGAGGGAGCCCATCTTTGTAAAGGGCAAGTTGACTATGTATCAAAAGTCTTCCAAGTGAACACTTTGGCCCAAGGAATTCTATTTCCAAAAAGCTGTCTTAAGAAAGTAGATAGTGATAATGACATCACAGCTTACGTTTATTGTCTATGTTGGGCACCAGTCTAACTGCTTTATGTACACTTGTTCATTTATCCCCCATAATAACTCATGGCAGATGCTGCAACCTCCCCTTTGTCAGGAGAGGAAACTGAGGCTGGGTAAGGTAGTTTGCTCAAGGGCACAGGCTAAGTTGCAGAGCAATTATTTGAACCCAAGCAGCTGCTTCATAGCGATTCACATGCTGGTGTGTTCACTTGGGGCATGGTTGTTACAATGAAAAGTATAACAATAGCCAGGGAATTTGCAAATAAATGATGTTATATGCATAAAATGAAATACTGAACAGCTATTAAAACTCATGTTCTCAGGCTGGGGTGGGGTAATAGCTTAGAGGTAGGGCACTTGCCTAACGTGTGAGGCCCTCTGTTCCATTCTCAGACTCGCCTGTTATCAAAAGCTCTTTTGAAGAGTGGATACACATGACCAATTTTTAAATAAAAATGTGTTATAAAACAATAGTTTAATTATATTTTTAAAAATTAAGTGTAAAATGCACCTGTATTGTTTTAAATAGGTATATTTTGAAAGGGGGGGTAAGGGAGATTTTAGGTATTTAAATTTTTATCCTTCATAATTCTGGTCATTGTTTCAGTTATTAAATTGAATTTTTATTTCTCTATATAATTTAAAATTTTTTATAAAAAAGTTGCTTCATTTGTGTGGTGATGCTGCATAGGCACTTGGTTCTATGAGCAGACATGAAAATTGCTCTTTGCGTGAAGTGGACACTAGGTGGCGCTCCTAGAGTCCCATGCCACACAAATGAAGGCCAAGGGACCAGCCTCAGGCATTCACACTTCCAAGCTCTTCCATTTGCACACAAACTGTAATTGCCTGGTTTAGATGTATTTTGCAATGGCTTGTTCCCACATAGAAGTAAGCACTGACCAGAAACTGACATGGAGGTGGTGTGTGGTTTTTTGTTGTTATTTGTTTTATGATGCTGGAGATTGACCCTAAGGCCTTGCATATGGTAAGCCAGACAGTGCTCAGGCCTCAGTTTTTCGAGGGAAGGTCTTTCTATGTAGCGCAGGCTGGCCTCACACTCAAGATCCTCCTGCTGCCTCAACCTCCTGAATGCTGGGATTGCAAGCATTCAGTGCCACCATGCCTGGCACTGAAGTAGTTTTGAGTTTCAGAAGCTGATAATCCGCTCAGCTGAACTGATCTTTCCTCACATACTAGATGGAGGCTTGAGACTGCTGCTAGCAGGAAGAGCTTTCCATCCATTTGGGCTTCCTGTTCACACTGCAGTTTCTGACCAATATATCCTCTTCTTTGCAGAAACTTGTTTCCAGATCAACCCTAAGACGACAGGGAAAGGAGGGCACCAAGGAAGGAAATGGGGTTGGGATTAATTCTTCCAACCAATTTGGCATCCACAACTTTGAATTCATCCGAGTGTTGGGAAAGGGCAGTTTTGGGAAGGTGAGTCTTGGCTTTGACTCTCTGGGTTGAAGTAAGCATTATGTGTATGTTGTTTGCGTGAGCGTGTGTGTCTGTGTGTTTGTGTGTGTGTATGTACACACCCACATTTCTCATGTGTGCCCATATCTGAAGAACCCCGAGAGACATCCCTCATCCTCTTTCCTGCTTTGGCTTAGGTGATGCTTGCCAGGATAAAAGAAACAGGAGACCTCTATGCTGTGAAGGTCCTGAAGAAGGACGTGATCCTGCAGGATGATGATGTGGAGTGCACAATGACCGAGAAAAGGATCCTGTCTTTAGCCCGCAACCACCCCTTCCTCACCCAGTTGTTCTGCTGCTTCCAGACCCCTGTAAGTATGACTCGCGTTCACTGCCTCTGCAGCTCCGGTCTTAAAGAGTTCAGATAATAAGATGTGGAAGATTTCAGAAAGTCAGGTACCAGAAAATATTTTGGAATGAGCTCTTATGGTAGGCCAAATGAAGGTCACAGTAACTTCTGACGACCTCTGGGACAAAATATAAAAACTAATCAATTCACTCCTTCCTTCATGCTGCCCTGTGCAAGGGTCACCTCTAGTGTTGCATACCCTGAAATTGAAAAGGTCCGGTGAAGGTTACAGAAGTCTAAGACTTCTGTAATAGGCTAATTATCTTGGTGAATTTGACAATTGCTGTGCTCTTAAATTCTGGACTGGTTTGGACCTGGGCACAAGAGTTCAAAAGAGTGGTCTGACTGGGCCCTGGAGACTCGCGCTTGTAATCCTAGCTACTCAGGAGACGGAGATCAGGAGGACTGCAATCCAAAACCAGCCCAGGCAAATAGTTCGTGAGACCCTTCTCGAAAAAACCCATCAAAAAAAAGGGCTGGTGAAGTGGCTGAAGGTGAAGGCCCTGAGTTCAAACCCCAGAACCGCAAAAAATAAAAAAATAATAATGAGGGGTGTGAAAGGACCCAGAAAGAGCACTTGGCTATGTCCTAAGGTACTGTTCTAGCTGCATAGGAAGATGCTTTCCTCAGTACCATGGACTTGGAATTAGAACCTGTCTGCCTGTGATGGCAAAAGCAATGGTAAATGCAATTAGGAATGCTTCGGGCTGCAGTCAGTGGAATACCCAACCAGCCATGGTTTAAACAAACAACCACAAAACCCGGGATGGGTTTAGGTCATTCATGCAAGCTTTGTTTTTGTTATTTCCCACAGTGGGAAGTCTGGTAGTAACAGTGAGGATGGATTCTTCATCTTGTGATATCAGACCTGTCTTCCCTTTGGGGTCTCAAATATGTGCTACATCTGTAACCATCATACCTTCACATGGCTATGTCCAGAGCAGAAAGCACAGGAGCAGAGGGCAAAATACAGCAGGGGCCACTCTCCTATCGGGAAGAGAACTTTCCTAGACTAGTTAACCATGCTTAGCAACGAGGGGGGCTTGGAAAGTAATTATCTACTCAAGATTCATGATTGCCGTATACTAACCTTGCCTCATCCCCCAGGGCAGGGTACTCTGCTGCCTATGTAGAATTGGGCTCAAATTGAGCCTTTTTTTTAGCAATGGGCGCCTTTTTTTCCCTGGTAAAAGTTTGATGTTTGGCCACAAGGTGGCAGTCGTTACTGCGAAGTGATTTTTTTATTTCTCCACCAGAGAAATAAACACATGGAACTGCCTTTGGGGTTTCAAAAGTATGGATTGTAATATCCGTCTCCAAAACAAAGGATGAAGGCATTTCTCCCTGCTTCATTTTAATGAAAGAAGTAGTGAAAACCAACTGAAAAGAACCAAATTAAGACAGAGATACACAATTTCCATTTTGCCTTGTCTCAGTCTTACAAGGTATCTGACTCCACAGCATGTGTGACATATGTTCACTGTGCATCCATCTGTAAGAAGTCCTCGGTGACCATCCTCATTCACTGTTGTAAAGCAAGCTAAAACGGACAAAAAATGGAGTTGCTGTGAGAAATGACAGCAGAGAGGATGACTTCTTAGCTACCAGTCCTACAGGCCGCAGCTTCTCAAATGAGATGCTGATGAGTATGTGTTGCTCTCTTGTCACGCCGCCCTGAAGAGTTTAGAAGTGAATTCAGGTGGGTTGTCAGATCACTCGCAGCTGTCTGCAAAGCATGCTTTCATTGCAAAGGCCCCTGTGGAAATGCACCTACCCTCACGTCCAGCCCTGTGCTCACATCAACATCTCTGAGACACAAAGAAGGGGTGACTCGTGGGGGGTCACTTGCATTCTAAGTGGTAGAGACAGGGTTCATGTAGGCCAGGCTGACTTGATCCATCTGTCACGTGTGGTCTTATACCATATGCCCTGGCTCTGGCTTGCAGAGATGGAAGCAGCATTCATTGCCTTCAGGACCTGAGTTCTTTTCTACCTTTATTTCCCTCCATGTAATGGCTTGAGATTGTTCTATAATTCCTTTGAGCCTTATAGTCCTCGTCATGAAAATGAAAACCCTAGGAGGGTCAAGTGAGAAAAGGAAACACTTGTAACACTGTGAAGTGCTGCACAAAAGCCAGTGGATTCACCTGGGTGATGATACCTTCCTCCCCACAGCAAACACAAATATCCTGGGGTTTTCCAGTGGCCAGCCCAGACCCCCACGTGCAGATGACAATAATTAGGAATTCCCCAAAGTGGGAATTTGGGGACGCTGTTTGTTCTTGGTAAAAAGAAAATGATAAGGCAAATTTCAAATATTAATTTATTAAGTTTTCTATGTAGGCTTATGAATCCGTAAGTTCTCCCCCTAATTTTTCATAATTATATATTGCTTGCAAGTATATAGTTAAATTGGCATTCTCATACATTTGCAGTAGCATTGTACACACTAATATTTTGTGAATAATTTGATCAGCCATCAAGATTCATAAAATGTTTATACTCTTGGATCTGTGGATTCTATTTCTGATAGTTTAGCCTACAGGAACAGTCTAAAGAGTGAAATAAAATGTTATTCACAAAGATATTTAATTTTGAGTGCATTATTTTTTTTGACATCTCCCAGTCTTCCCACCCCCAGTCCCTGGTCACTTCCATTCTACTTTCTGCTTCCACAAGTTTGACTTTTTTAGATTTCACATAAAAGAGAGATCATGTGCTAATTGCTTTCTGCACCTGGGTTATTTCACTTAATGTTCTCCAGGTTCATCTGCGTTCCCACAAATGACAGGATTTCCTTCTTTTCTTAAGGCTTAATAATATTCTATTGCATATGTTTTACATTTTTTTATGTTTTATTTATTTATTTTTTTCCTGGGGTTTGAACGCAGGGTTTTGCATTTGTAAAGCAGGCACCACTTGAGCCACATCTCCAGTCCATTTTGCTCTGGTTATTTTGGAGAAGGGATCTTGTGAACTATTTGCCTGGGCTGACCTTGAGCCACCACCCTCCCCATCTCAGCCTCCCAAGTAACTAGGATTACAGGTGTGAGCCACCAGAGCCCAGCTTACCCAAATCTTTATCCCTTTTGTCCATAATGTGAATAATGGTGAGTGAACACGGGAGTGCAGGTGTCTCTTTGACATACTGATTTTATTTTCTTTGGATATATCCAGTAATAGAATTGTAGGCTCTTGTGGCAGTCCTGTTTTCCCTTTTTGAGGAACCTACATATGGTTTTCCACAGTGACTATACTAATTTTAATTTTTAATCCTACCACAGTTCCCTTTCTCCAAGTGGCTGCCAGCCTTGGTATCTTTCATCTGTTTTAGTAGCTATTCTGACAGGTATGAGCTGGTATCACATTGTGGTTTTTAATTTGCATGAATCTCATGACTAGTGATGTGAGCATTTTTTTATGTGCTCATTGATTGTTGTATTTCTTCTTTTGAGAAATGTCTATTAAGATCCTTTGCCTTTTTTTTTCTTTTCTTCTGATGGCACTGGGGTTTGAACTCAGTGCCTCACACTTGGTAGATAGGCACTCTGCCACTTGAGCCACTCCGCCAGCCTTTGCCTGTTTTTTTAATGAGCTGTTAGTTTCCGTACTACTGAGTTGAGTTCCTTATATGTTTTAGATCTTGATGCCTCTCAGCTCTGCAGTTTGCAAATATTCCTCCCATGCCACAGGTTGCTCTCACTCCATTGGTCATTTCTTTTGCTGCCAGAAGCTCTATGTTGATGGAATCCCAGTTGTCTACTTTTGCTTTTCTTGCCTGTACTCTCAGAGTTGTATCCAAAGTGATTGCCCAGACCATGTCATTGAGCCGTTCCCTTGTGTTTTCTTCCAGTAGTTTTATAGATGTAGGTGTTAAGTTTAAGACTTTAACCCGTATTGAGTTGATTTTTGCATCTGGTGTGAGATAAGGATATAACATTCTTTCATATGTAAATCCTCTTGTTTTTTCCAGTACCATTTATTGAAGAGCTTGTCCTTTCCTCATATGTATTCTTGTCATTTTTTGCCAAATCATCAGCTGAGAACAGGTGCAGGTGGCTCACCTGCTACTTAATTGTAACCCCAGCTACTTAAGAGACAGGAATCAGGGGGATCATGGTTTGAGGCCAACCCAGGCTAAAAGTTAGCAGACTCCATCTCATTAAACAAACCAGGGTGGCAGTTCATCTCTGTAATCCCAGCTACGCAGAAAGCATATGTTAGTAGAAAGATTGCAGTCTATAGTCAGCCTGGGCAAAAAGGACTAAAATAACTAAAGCAGAAAAAAAAGAGGTTGGATTTGTGGCCCAAGTGGTAGAGTACTTTGCCTAGCAAGTTCAAACCCAGTACCGAAAAAAAAGTGAATTGAGCATAAATGAATGGATTTATTTCTGGTCTCTGTATTCCATTCCACTCATCTGTGTATCCGTTTTACATCAGTATCAAATGTTGCTTTGACTACTGTGGCTTTGTCGTAGGTTTTGAAGTCAGGTAGTGTGATGCCTCTGGTTTTTGTTCTTTTTGTTCAAGATCACTCTTGGCTTCAGTGCATTGTTTGTAATAGGAAATACTAGAAACAACTTCAGCATTCAGCAGTTGGGACATGCCTCATAATATCCGATGAAGGTTTTCAGCTAATAAGGAAACATAATTTTCATTAAATTATGTGTCACGAGCCAGGTATGTTGGCCCATACTGTAGCTCGGGAGGTTTGAGTCACAAGGTTCACTTGAATCCATGAGTTCAAGACCAGCCTGTGCAACATAGTGAGACCCTATCTCAAAAAAAATATTCTGTGTGAGAGATTGCCGTGGGCACACATATTATATATTGCATGCATAAGAGAGGTACAGCTGTTTTCTTTGTCAGTCGTGCAGTGAAGCAGTGAGAGTTAAGTCACTTGCTCCAAATTCAACACTTTTTAGAAAATGATGAAACTAGGGAGGTTAGAGGCTAGCAAATAGTATAGAATTTTGAAGATCAGTGGTATGCCACATTAAGTTTCTGTCCAGGAACAGGGAATGGCAGACTGTCTCCTCGACCACAACAACCACCCCAGGAAATTATACCAATAAACTATCAGGGACTCTATTAAGGTAGTGGAATTCCAGATGCTGTTTCTTCTTTTTTCTGTTTATCAAATTTGGTGGTAAGGTGATTTTTCTTTAGCCATGGAGGTGGGAAGAGTAAGGATTATTAAGTGAGAAGGGCTTGGGTCTCTCAGGACCAGGGATGCAGGTCTAGTAAATGTGCCTCCCCAGTCTTGTCAAGTCAAATTCACTCCACACTCCTTTCATCTCCATCAGTGACTGCCCGGCCAGACGCTGAGCCTCCTGACATTTATGGCCTGGAAATCTGGCTCTCTGCACCTCTCTTCTTGGTTCTCTGGCTGGAGACTCAGCTGCATAGCAGGGAGGGCAAAAGACAGACGGACATTAGGGGGTGGGGAGGGAGG